AATCAAGAAAAAACATAGACAATAACAAATAAAGACAAGCCTTAATTTTGTCATCACTACTGAAAACATCAAGCTAATTGAGCAATTTCAACATTGTTCATTCTAATCAGTAAAATAATTTGTTTGGATAATCAGGTTTAAAATTGGTTTTTAAACCAGTTTATGATAAGAAATCTAGTTGGTATAAGGTAGTTTAAAATCATAAATCAGTTTTTTAAACTAATTTTAACAAAATAAATAATATTAAAATTTATCTTAAATGCATATTTGTTTATTATTTTTAAATCTATTTAAAATTCTTGTGAAGCCAATTTGGCTTTAAAATCAATTTTAAAATCAATCTAGTTTTAATATATATTTCAAATCATAAACTTATAGAAAACTATAATCAATTTTAAGCCTAAATTTTAATTATAAATGTTTTAAAAAACCAGTTTGAAAAGATAACCAACTTTAAAACGGATTTAAAATGTAGACACTTTATCCCTGTTTTTATCCTGTTAACATTAAATGTAAGTATGTTGAAATGGTTATACACACAGATAATAAATTCAGGATATATAATATAAAATCATTATCATTATATAAAAATATAATATTTATATATATATATATATATCAGAAATAACAGAAGTTGGAATAAAAACATTTATATGAACAAAACCTTAGGAAGTCTTGAAAGAGGCAAAAGGGCGGGGTAAAGAATATCTGCAGAGTTTGTTACTGCTATAACCTGCAATTGACAAGAATAAATGAGTATGACTATTGAATAAAATAGTCTAAATGAACAAAATCCAGTAAGTTTGGTGCCAACTGTTAAATCTAGTATATTGATATTCGAGATGTTAACATGATGTAAAAGATGTGTTAAAATAAAACGCCATAAAAATAAAAAAGTAAAATTACGGGACCAGCCGCTAAACATGAGACTTACCACAGACTGAAATTTTTTGAAACTTATTATATCACATCAATCAAGAAAAAACATATAGAAAATAACAAATAAAGACAAGCCTTAATTCTGTCATCACTACTTAAACCATCAAGCTAATTGAGCAATTCCAACATTGTTCATTCTAATCGGGAAAATAATTTGTTTGGATGTTCAAAATCAGGTTTAAAATTGGTTTTCAAACCAGTTTATGATTAGAAATCTTGTTGGGTTTCAAAGCTAGGTTAAAATCATAAATCAGTTTCTTAAATTAATTTTAACAAAATAAATGATATTCAAATTTATCTTAAATGCAGACTTGTTTATTATTTTTAAATCTGTTTAAAATTAATTGATGGTATAAATTCTTGTGAAACCAATTTGGCTTAAAAATCAATTTTAAAATCAGTCTAGTTTAATATATATTTCAAATCATAAACTAGTTGAAAACTATAATGAATTCTAAAAGCAATTTGAAATGATAATCAACTTTAAACAGATTTAAATTATTGACACTTTATCCTCTCTTTTTCCCTTGTTAACGAATGCTGATGCGGTTATACCCACATAAAACAAATTCACAAAACATAATATAAAATCATTTTCATTATATATAAATATAAAATATATATATATATATGTAAGAAATCAAAGAAATTGGAATAAAAACATTTATATGAACAAAACCTTAGGAAATAAACAAAAAGATTGAAAATAGAATGTACCAAATACATCACAGGCTAGAAATAATGTATTTTATAAATATGGTTAAGAACAACCAACCAAAAAAAAAAGAAGAATAAAATACACATTCAAGAATTTCAACAAGAATGGTATTCTTGAGTTTCGATGGGTAAAAAATTACAACTTTTTCGAAAATTAAGAGCTTTTCAATTTAAATCAAGAAGGGATGCAACATTGAATTGTTCAAGAATGTTGAAGAACTTTGATTATTTTAGACCAAATCTCATAGCCTAGAGCCGGAAAATAACGGAAAGCGGCAAGTAGTTAGTCATACGTATATGTAGAAAGTAATTCACCTCAAGGTCAAAGATCATCCCCAGAAATGAGCACTCCAGTCATTTTGTAGAAAAAATAGTACAGATTAAATTAAACCTACAGAAAAACAAGTGTCATTCGTACTCATATAATTAAGTAACTTTTAATCATGAACTTTGCAAATTCAATTTAATTTCAAATTACTCACTTACCACGTGACAGATAACAATTCTTGAATTCACCAAAGAAAAAACAACACATCTTGTCGAGATGCAAGATTACACACAATTTGTTGCTGCTATAACCTGAAATTGACAAGGATAAATGAAAATGACTCTTGAATAATATAGTCTAAATGAACAAAATCATGTAAGTTTTTGGTGCCAACTGTTAAATCCAGTTTATTGATATTGGAGATGCTAACATGTAAAAGAAATGTGTTAAAATAAAACGTCGTAAAAATAAAAAAAATAAAAAAATAGTAAAATTCTTTGAAGCTATTATGCTTTGGTACCAAACACAACAAAATTCTTTGAAGCTTATTTATATCACATCAATCAAGAAAAAACATATAGACAAAAACAAATAAAGCAGGAAAATAATTTATTTGGATTTTCAAAATCAGGTTTAAAATTGGTTTTAAAACCAGTTTATGTTTAGAAATCCAGTTGGTTCAAAGCTAGTTTAAAATCATAAATCAGTTTTTTAAACTAATTTTAACAAAATAAATAATATTAAAATTTATCTTAAATGCAGACTTGTTTATTATTTTTAAATCCGTTTAAAACTCTTGTGAAACCAATTTGGCTTTAAAATCAATTTACGGTTCAAAATCAATTTTAAAATCAATCTAGTTTTAATATATATTTCAAATCATAAACTTATTGAAAACTATAATCAATTTCAAGACTAAATTTTAATTATAATTGTTTCAAAACCAGTTTGAAACGATAACCAACTTTAAAATGGATTTAAAATGTAGACACTTTATCCCTCTCTTTATCCCGTTAACATCAAATGTAAGTATGTTGCAATGGTTATACACACAGATAATAAATTCATGATATATAATATAAAATTATTATCAAAATCAATTTTAAAATCAATCTAGTTTTAATATATATTTCAAATCATAAACTTATTGAAAACTATAATCAATTTTAAGACTAAATTTTAATTATAATTGTTTCAAAACCAGTTTGAAACGATAACCAACTTTAAAATGGATTTAAAATGTAGACACTTTATCCCTCTCTTTATCCCGTTAACATCAAATGTAAGTATGTTGCAATGGTTATACACACAGATAATAAATTCATGATATATAATATAAAATTATTATCAAAATCAATTTTAAAATCAATCTAGTTTTAATATATATTTCAAATCATAAACTTATTGAAAACTATAATCAATTTTAAGACTAAATTTTAATTATAATTGTTTTAAAAACCAGTTTGAAACGATAACCAACTTTAAAATGGATTTAAAATGTAGACACTTCATCCCTCTTTTTATCCTGTTAACATCAAATGTAAGTATGTTGCAATGGTTATACACATAATAAATTCACGATATATAATATAAAATCATTATCATTATATATAAATATTATCATTATATATAAAATAATTTGTTTGGATTTTCAAAATCAGGTTTAAAATTGGTTTTAAAACCAGTTTATGATTAGAAATCCAGTTGGTTAAAAGTTAGTTTAAAATCATAAAACAGTTTTTTAAACTAATTTTAACAAAATAAATAATATTATAATTTATCTTACATGCAGACTTGTTTTTTATTTTTAAATATGTTTAAAACTCTTATGAAACCAATTTGGCTTTAAAATCAATCTAGTTTTAATATATACTTCAAATCATAAACTAGTTGAAAACTATAATCAACTTTAAGACTAAATTTTAATTATAATAGTTTCAAGGTTATCGAATAACCGTTATAACGGCGTTATAACGGTATGGCGGTGCGGTTTTGAGCCTCTCCGCCATTCGCCATCCGAAAAATCGCGTTTTATGGCGCCGTCCGCCATTTCTGCCGTGGCGGGCGCC